GATTTTCAAACTTTTTCATCCCATGACACATAAACTACTAAAATTCTGCAGCCCACCAAAAACATATTTTTTATAGTAATTACACTTTTTGCTCCGAAGTGACTTAAAAAAAAACAAAACAAAAAAAAAACAGGTGCCTATGCTGGTGCACAAGGACTTCCGGTGTCAGGAACTAAGCAAACAGATGCAGCCTTGTTATGTGACGCAAGTTGAGGGGCTCGGGCAGCACCATCCTCCTGGCCTTGCCCTGCGCCCCCAGGCGGAAGAGTGGCTTAATCTGGCTGAAGAGATCCGGAGGAGAAAGCACACCCATGACTGAGTGCCTTTCCCTCTCCCTCTGGAGCAGGCGGCCTCCGGAACACCTGCTATGGGTGAAACGCCCCCATGAGGCGGCCATCAGTACTGCCCCCAGAGCAGGACCAGAACTCGGGCCTGGCTCTTTGTTTATTCAAGGATCTTAAACACCGTGCCCTATTACCTCTGCAAATGCATGCCATGACCAAATAGAGTTCTTCCAGATCATTCTACACTGCTCAGGTTATATTTCTGGGTCCTTATCCTCTACGCTGAGTGGATATACCTATATCTCTGAATGCATAATAATCTGGCCACTCAGTGTGTGTGTGTGTGTGTGTGTGTGTGTGTGTGTTAGAGGCCCGGTGCATGAATTCGTGCATGGGTGGGGTTTGGCCAGCCTGGCCAGGGGGAGGTAACATAGGCGGTTGGCTGGCCTGCCTGCTGGTCAAAATCCTGGTTGAGGGGACAATTTACATATTAGCCTTTTTATGATATAGGATATACACTAAGTGGCCAGATTATTATGTGTTCAGAGATCATAATAATCTGGCCATTCAGTGTAAAATAAGGCCCAATATGCACATTGACTGAACAGAAGAACAACCAGTCACTATGATGCACACTGACCATCAGGGGGCAGATGCTCAATGCAGGAACTGCCCCAGCCTGCAGGCCCCCGGTCAGCCAAGGCAAGTGCCAGTGCAGGGCCCTCCACCCCCACCCCATCACCCCACCAGTCGACCCACAGATTGGCCCTGATCGCCGGCCCTGCCTAGGGACCTTACCTGTGCACGAATTCATGCACCAGGCCTCTAGTCTGAAAGAATAGGGTATAAGACCCCGCCCTACGGAAGTATCTGCATGAATGCACCTGCTATACCAACTCTGAAATTTATTGCAATTTTGTTTATACTGTTAAAAATTGGCAACAATGTAAGTGCCCATCAAGAAGGGAATGATAGCCGAAACCGAAACCGGTGTGGCTCAGTGGATAGAGTGTCTGCCTGTGGACTGAAAGGTCTCAGGTTCGATTCCGGTCAAGGGCATCTACCTTGGTTGTGGGTACATCCCCAGTAGGGGGTGTGCAAGAGGCAGCTGATTGATTCTCTGTCATTGATATTTCTAACTCTCTATCCCTCTCACTTCCTCTCTGTAAAGAATCAACAAAATGTGTGTGTGTGTGTGTGTGTGTGTGTGTGTTTAAAAAGAAGGGAATGATAAATACATTTCGATACATCCATACCATAATACTATACAACTGTTACAGAGTGTCAGATTTGCATGTCCTGGCATGAAAGATGTCCTGTCTAATTTGCACATAATGAAACAATATATTTAACGAGAAAAGGCAAGCTGCAGAACGCATTGGACAGGGTGGGCTGGCAGCTGGGCAAGCCGCGGTCCCACCGTGGAAGCAGGTCCAGGGGAGGGGCGGGGCCCGCTCGGGCAGCTGGTCAGGGACCCAGCCTCCTGCTGTCCCCAGCTCACGTCCGGCAGAATCAGAGGGCGAGAGCAGAGGAGCAGGTGGGGAGAGGCTGGGCGCCGGAGCGGCCGTCACCACCTCAGCCGCATTCCTCGGCCGCCGTCCCCGTGGCCGCACCTCGCCGCACGGGCGGCCGGGGACGTGCGCAGCAGACGGCTCGGTGGGCATTTAGCCAGCGCCCGTCACGTCAACTGGTACGCACCGTTACACCCACTTGTGTCCAATACCCGTCAATGAGCGCGTGGATGTATTTTAACAGGAAAAGTCTGGGGGGGCAGACACTCAGCGGACCCCCCTCCGGAGTGAAGAGGAGGCGGCACGGTCTCTGCGTGGCTGTTTTAACGCTGGCACACGGTTTCTGTGACTAACTGGGAAAGGTTTGTAGGGTGATAGCATGCTGCTTTCACTAGAGAATTTAAAGCAAGGAGCTCAGAATTCTGAGTGCCCACTAGGGGGCAGAGGAGGCGCGTGGGCGAGCGTGCCTGCCGTTGCCTAACCGCCCTGTGCATTTCTTGCACAACTTCCTCCCCCCTTGGGCCATCTGCAGTGTTTACCGAACTGTCTGAGGAAGTGACAGCACCCAGGCCCCTGACACGGGCAGTCCAGCCCCCCCACAGGAACCAGATCCCCAAAGCGGGGGCACCTGGTGCGCCCCGAAAAGGTGTCTGCTCCTGCCCGCCTCTGAGTGCTCAGCATGAAGCCCAGACACACAGGCAGAACATCTTCCACGCAGGCCCCACGGGTGCAGCCTGCTCTGCCTGGGAGACATCACCCAGACATCTGCCTCGCCCCCAGAGGGCGCCTGAGCACCCTTCCCCGTTTCCTGAGCAGGCATCCCGGGTCAGGAAGAAGCCATGGGCTGGGGGTGGGGGGAGGGGAGCGGCGGCCAGGCCCTCCTGCTCACAAGAAGAGATAGTGAGCAACAGCTCAGCAAAATCTCAGCGCCATTTAGTCACTGAAACACTTGTTTCCTCTGCTCGGACTTCCCTGTTGCTCCAAACAGAAGCGAATTCCGCACCCCGACAGTGGGACGGTCCACCATAGCCACTTCCTAGAAGAGTTGACAGGGACCCACGAGTCCACTCCAAGGCTGGCCGGAGCTCCTGGAGACTAGGCCGCATTCATCTTTGTTTGGGAATTTTAAATTAATTTATTTTATCTTTATGTTGTCTTTTTTTAATTGATTTCGGAGAGAGGAAGGGAGAGGGAGAGATGAAAACATCAATGGTGAGAGTCATTGATGGACTGCCTCCTGCATGCTCCCTCTGGGGGATTGAACCTGCAACCTGGCCATGTGCCCTGACTGGGAATTGGACCCTGACCTCCTGGTTCACGAGTGGAAGCTCTACCACTGAGCCACCCTGGCTGGCCAGGTTACAGCTAGACCCCCTGGCCTGCAGTCATTGGCTCTAGGGCAGGCATGTGACTCCAACGAGGCGAACGAGAGCCTGCTGGTCCCAACTCTGCCGAGAGCCCATGGGAACAGAGCCGACTGGAAAGCACTGTGGCAGATTCAGAACCGAAAGGGGGCCGTGCTGGTCTTGGGGGTACCTCAGTTTGCTGGTGGGATGGCCAACAGCCCCCGCTTTACCCTCATCCAGCTGAGCTGGACCTAAACTACTGGTCATTCTTCGCTCGGAGACTGGAGGAATTGGGGGCGGCCGTGGGAGCGCTGGGAGGTGGGCCTGGGGCCAGTTTTGCCAGGCAAGGAAGTGCCCAAGGAAACTAGAGCAGTGCCACTCTGGCTCAGCGCCACCATTCATCAGCTCGAGGAGAAAAATGGATTTGTCAATCTTTGGTTTTGCCTTTGACCCAGAGAGGGCTGGGCCTGCGCCTGGAGGGGCCCCGTCTCTGCCAGCTCAGTGAGAACCCGCAGTGTGGGGAGATGCAAATGCGAATTTCTTGCAACAACGACCACCTTTCCTTCTCCCTGCACCTCTCAGAGACCCCGTCCCAGCACCGGATCCCTTAATTTACATGTTTGGAGGGAAGCAGGGGGGGAAACTAGCTGAGCTGGCTTTGTGTCACTTCTTTATATTCTCTCTTGGGGTCAAGAACAGCGAGCAGGGGGCAGAGGATTTTCCCGCACGTGAAGACACTTTGGGTTACTAAAATTTGCTTTTCTCGATACTTGTGTTACGTGATTTGATTTTGATGCCCCAGAACTGTGGCCAGCAAACTGCGGTTCTCAAGCGACATGCGGCTCTTTGGCCCCTTGAGTGTGGCTCTTCCACAAAATACCATGGCCTGGGTGAGTCTATTTTGAAGAAGTGGCATTAGAAGAATAAGTTTAAAAAATGTGGCTCTCAAAAGAAATGTCAATCGTTGTGCTATTGATATTAGGTTCTGTTGATTAGTGAGTTTGCCGACGGCTGGCCCAGAATATGAACTTTTTTGGAGGAAGAATCAACTGTGTATAGAACCCACAGCAGCTAACACGGCGCCTTGCTCCAGTGGGATCTCTGATTCCTAATCCAGGCACTTGTGCTGAACCCATCCCTGTGCTAGACAAGGCCCACAGCTGCTCCAGGCTGGAGGGTGCCTGGTCCCCATTGGGGGGCCATTGTGTCCCAAAGGGCTGGTCCAGGCCTCAGCACAGAGACTTTGGGGACCCTGAGTGCTGGGTGGAGTCAGGCTCAGATCCGGCCAGGTGGCTTCTGCCCTCGGGGTTTACTGAGTCTCAGAAGAGGGAGGGGAAGGTAAGATCCGACCGAACCCCTGATGAGGTCAGTCCCAGGTCTGGAGCGTCCAGGCTGGCTGGGAGCACTGAGTCTTAGTGGGGTCAGGCCTAGGCCTGGCCAGGTGACTGGCTAGTGGGGGCTGCAGCGACCCAGGTCTTGGGAGGAGGGACCAGCCCTGTGCCTTGGACTGCAGGCCTGCTTAACCAGGTGGGACACTATGGCCTGCAGAGGAAGCAGAGTCCCGGATGATGGTGGGAGGGTGTGCGGTGTCCATCCCGGCCCTGGCGTGGGGGCTCTGGCCTGCGCAGAATGCGGAGTCCCCGGTCCTGGCCTGAAGGCTCCATGCGGTCAAGGGCTAGTGAGCCCCAGCACCAGCGTGGAGACTCCAGGCCGGCAGGGGGCGCTGCGTTCCTGGCGGGAGACGCAGAGCGGCTCCAGGCCGGAGGGGGGCGCTGGCGCGCGGCGGCGCGGCGGCCGCCCGGCAGGTGGCGCTCTGGCCGCGGCTGAGGCCCGGCGGGCGGCGGCGGCGGCGGCGGCGCGGCGCTGCGCCGGCTCGCGGGCCTGGGGAAGCGGCGGCGGCGGGACCGGAGAGGGCGGGGCGGCGGCGGCGGCGGCGGCGGCGGGAGCGGCGGCCCGGGCGGGCGGGCAGGAGCGCCAGCCGAGCGCACAGGCCGCGGCCCGCGGAGCCGCCATGCCGGCGCGGGTCTGAGGCGGCGCGTGAGGGCCGAGCAGCGGCGGCCGCGCCGGCCGGGCTTCCCGCAGCGGCGGCCGGGCCCGGAGCGGCGGCCTCGGCCTCCGGCGCAGCCCGGAAATGTCCGGCCGGATCGAGAAAGCAGGTGAGGCGGGGGCCGGGCGGCGGCGGGGCGGCGGGAGGGCGCGGGGCCTGCTCGGCGCCTCCGAGGCCGCGCAGGCGGCGCCCCGCGCTCTCCGGGCGCACGGCGGGCCGCGGGCTCGGGGGCCGGGGCGGCGCGGGGACGCGGGCCCGGCCGGCCGCTCGGCCTCCGCGGGGCTCGCAGACAACGGCTCGGACCCGGGGCCGGGAAGGGACGCCCGGCCGCGTGTCCCGGCGGCTGCAGTGCCCGAGTCCCGCCAGGCGGCCGCCTCCCGGGCGCAGACGGGGCTGAGCCGCACGAAGTGTCATTTCTGGTTTAAATTTAACCCGGAGCGTCTACCTCGGCGGCTTCAAAGGACGCAGCCGGCGGCGCCTGGCCCTCCGGGGCTCGGCCCAGGCTTCCCCGGGCCCCGGCGCCGGCGGGGCGCGGGGAGCCGTGTCTCTGCAGCCCTCCTCTTTGTGTGCTCCGGCATCGCGGGGAGCGGCCTCCGCCCCCCACCCCCGGGGTTTGCCTGCACCCGGCACCGTCTCCCCACGGGTGCATTGAGGCTGGGGCTCCCGAGCCGGCGACACCTTGCAGGGCGAGCCCAGGGCCCCGGGCGGGCGGGCGGGCAGCCCCGGGCTCCGGTGAGCAGCGCTGCGTGTCCTGCCCGCCCGGGTGGCTGACCCGGGGTGCCCCCGAGCGTGGCCGCCCAGCCCGGAAGGCAGGCCTCCGGGGGCCCAGGGGGGCTGCTCAGGTTTGGGAGTTGCTGGTCTCCCGGGTCACCCCGGGATACGGTCCTGCCAGGCGCCCGGGAGCGGCCCCAGAAGGCGGCGCAGCCTGCAGGCTGTGGTTTCTGCACAGGAAGGGCGCTTTTTGTAGCCTTCACGGAGGGTTTTCTATGTATCCGGCTCGCGCTAAGCATTTTAAATGTGTCGCTTCCTACACCCTGCAGATTTGTGAGCGAGAGCATGGTCCCAGAGCATGGTCCCGGTGTTTCAGCCCGGGGCACCCAGCAGGAGAGCCGCGCAGGGCGTGGAGGCCTGGGCTCTGCCCAGCGGCCCCAGGCGGGCCTTCCCCAGGCGCAGGCAGGGCCCCGGGTTCCAGCGCTGCTTCCTGGGCACCCTCACGGTTCTTCAGCCCCGGACCAGTGGCCATGAGTGGCCGCCCTGCACCTGTGCCTCTCCCGAAATATCGTGGGCTAATCTGTGAAGCATTTCTCAGGAGCCCCCTGCGCGGTGGGAAATTGGGTGATTTACTTTAAAAATAACACGAGCAGGGTGTGCTGTGGCTCAGCGTGTGTCCATTGCCAGAAACCTGGAAATCCTGGGAAAGTTACAGCGAAGTGAGAAGCACCTGTGGTCCCAGAGCTGCCCCCTCCCCCCCCAGGCTCAGACCCCACCCCACCCCACCCCCGTGGGATGCATCGCCCTTCAGCACCTGGTGCCCGAGGCCAGAGGCCAGGTCTGGCGGGTGGTTTCTCTGGGGGCCCTCTCGGGGCGCCTCCCTCCACCAGGCGCTGCAGCGAGATGCCCAGAGCGGGAAGTGCCTCTGGTCGGAGGCGGGAGAGCCGCTCAGCGTCCCCGGCCTGTGGCCCCATGCACGTCGCTGCTCCCAGTCAGGGCCCAGGGCAAGGGGAAGGCCCCGCAGGGACAGCAGGTGTGTTTGGCTCTGAAGAGGGGGTGCAGGTACCGGGGGGAGGGGGAGACGGCTGTGGAGGGCTCAGGAGGAGGTGTCGGGAGAGGCAGCTCAGCGGCGTTCTGAGGGCGAGAGGCCGGGTTGGCCTGGGGAGAGCTGGCCGGGGTGTCGGTCTGTGCCGGGGTGTCTGTGCTGGGCTCACACAGCCGTCGGGAAGTTGGGAGCAGTTCTGCAGCCAAGGGTGCGCCTTCCTCGGTCTGCTGGTCCTTGGACGTGGGGTCCCCTTGCATTTGGACGAGATTCCCAGCTGAGCTGCTGTTGGAGTTTCTAAACGGACCTGCTGGTGAGTTGCCAGTAGAGCGTTCGGTGCCAGGGACAGGCCCTTGGGTGCAGCAGGCTCCCGCTAGCAGGTGAGCCGCCGGTTAGTCATGGGGCCTGACTGACACCCACAGTCAGTGGCCGTTGATTGAAGCAGCAGCGGTGTCGCTCACACGTGCTCCGGAGCCTTCTTCCTGATGCAGGCTGGCGCTTGGCAGGTGTTAAGGACCCAGGGCTTTGGTGTAAGAGAAAACTCTTCTGTCCTCCCCTCGGCCCCTCAAGCTTCGCTCACTGCTCTACTGCACCTGCCCTCTGTGCTCACTGGCATGTTGGCAGAAATGGAAGTCCCAACGACTTGAAAATAAATGCCTAAGTTACTTCATTCAAATGATACCTTAGGCAAAAACCATCTTGGGGAGCGGCCTCCTCAGCCTCCGGGAGGTCTTGGGGCTGCCCTGCTGCTCCCCGGTACTCTGTTACTCAGCAGTTCCTGCCATCGCCCCCGTTGTCTGCCCGGGCCTCCCGGGATGAGGACACCTGGGTTCCAGAGGGTTCCAGAGGGCTGCAGGCTGAGCCTGTCCATTCCTTGGTGGAGGAGGGCTGACTGGAGGGCCAGGAGGAAGGGAGGGCGGGTGGAGGGAGCTTTTTTAAACTCTGGTGTCTTCACAGTTAGTGAAGAGGGGAGAGGGGAGCCTGAGAGTTAGGGGAGCTGGGTTAGGGAGCTCGGGGTGCGCTGTGGGCAGAACTGGCCAGGAGAGCGGGCGGGGCCTTAGGAACCGGAAGGCCGGGCTCTGACAGGGACCACGGCTGTGGGCGGGCACATGGTGGTGGGCCTCGGCTGCTCTGCTTCCAGCAAACGGGGAGGCGGGAGAGCTGGTGCCCTCATGCTTCCGAAGCGTCAGCAGCTGTTGCCTGTGAGTGGAGGGGACAGGCCGGTGCTGTGGGCTGGATTCCGTCCACAGGTGTGTTGTGTTTGATCTGCAGTGTTCTCGAAGAAAAAAGAATTGATGGCCAATATTTAAAATCAGGAAGTCGGTCAGAAAGCTCAGGTTTCTGGTTCTCTTGAAAACAGAGTCTCTGGTAGCTCTGAGCCCTGTTCCTCTGCGGCAGCTACAGACGGCCCTGTCCTGCCACCGACCTTCACCCCCCACCAGCCATCACCCCCCACCAGCCTTCACCCCCCGCCTGCCATCACCCCCCACCAGCCTTCACCCCCCACCAGCCTTCACCCCCACCAACCTTCACCCCCCACCAGCCATCACCCACCGCCAGCCACCACCCCCCACCAGCCATCACCCCCCACCAGCCTTCACCCTCCACCAGCCATCACCCCCTGCCAGCCATCAACCCCCCACCAGCCATCAACCCCCCACCAGCCTTCACCCCCACCAGCCATCACCCCCCACCAGCCTTCACCCCCCACCAGCCATCACCCCCCACCAGCCTTCACCCCCACCAGCCTTCACCCCCCCCCAGCCATCACCCCCCACCAGCCTTCACCCCCCACCAGCCTTCACCCCCCACCAGCCATCACCCCCCACCAGCCTTCACCCCCCACCAGCCATCACCCCCCACCAGCCTTCACCCCCTGCCAGCCATCACCCCCTGCCAGCCATCATCCCCCGCCAGCCATCACCCCCTACCAGCCTTCACCCCCTGCCAGCCATCACCCCCCACCAGCCATCACCCCCCGCCAGCCTTCACCCCCCACCGGCCTTCACCCCCCACCAGCCATCACCCCCCGCCAGCCATCACCCCCTGCCAGCCATCACCCCCTGCCAGCCATCATCCCCCGCCAGCCATCACCCCCCACCAGCCTTCACCCCCCACCAGCCATCACCCACCGCCAGCCATCACCCCCCACCGGCCTTCACCCCCCGCCAGCCATCACCCCCCACCAGCCATCACCCCCCACCAGCCTTCAACCCCCACCAGCCTTCACCCCCGACCAGCCTTCACCCCCCACCAGCCTTCAACCCCCACCAGCCTTCACCCCCGACCAGCCTTCACCCCTCACCAGCCTTCACCCCCCACCAGCCATCACCCCCCACCAGCCTTCACCCCCACCAGCCATCACCCCCCACCAGCCTTCACCCCCCACCAGCCATCACCCCCCACCGGCCTTCACCCCCCGCCGGCCATCACCCCCCACCAGCCTTCACCCCCCACCAGCCTTCACCCCCGACCAGCCTTCACCCCCCACCAGCCTTCAACCCCCACCAGCCATCACCCCCCAGCCTTCACCCCCCCAGCAATCACCCACGCTGGCCATCACCACCCGCCGTCCATCACCCCCCACCAGCCATCACCCCCCACCAGCCATCACCCCCCAGCCTTCACCTCCGTTTCCACTTGGACCATTGATATCTGAGTGTGCACCCCTTTCCTTGGGGAAGCCATTCATGTTCGTTGGCTTTCCATCTGCACTGAAAGCTTTGGCCCATTTCTTCATTGATTTATTCCTCGATTTCCTGGTTGAGCTTCTCTGTCAGGTGCCGTACGAGGCTCCGGGGACCTCAGCAGACAATGCGGAGTTCCTGGGAGGTCATGGGGTCACATCAGCCTTCCGGGGGCGAGTGTCAGGGATAGCCCTCTGAGGAGCGAAGGTGAGCCGTGAGGATGAGGCGAGTTAGCGGCACAGCGTGGGGAGGAGAAGAGGGGCTTCACTTTCACTCCTGCTCTCAGCTCTCAGCCTCCCTTCCTGCCCCTGGTTACCCAGCACCTCCTCAGGCTGGAGCTGTCCTCCGTCCCTGCGCCTGGGCCCTGCCTTCTGCGGGGGCAGACAGAACAGCTGGCACAGAGATGAGAAGGGCACAGGTGGGAGTGTCGTGGCCCGGCCCTGGGTTCCAGCAGGCCGCGGTGTGGAGGAGTTCGCCTTTAGGACCTCTGGCAGCTGGGCAGGCGCGGGGCCAGGGCAGGTGAAGCGGAGGGCTCACCGGGCACCCACGCCTGTGGACAGGATTAATATGGTGTCAGACTCAAGTGCCATGTGTTTCAAATGGCTGAGGACGTTTTATTATAATTTAGAAAAATTTACACCAACTGCATTCATAGTGACTCTAGATATT